GGGGAGGGGTTCACTTCCAATTTCCTCTGTGGGAGAGGTATATGGATGTTTTCTGGGTTAATTAAGCACAAGTAGGCCCTATGATTATATACCAAGTGTCAAAGCTCATGTTTTCTTGCATCTCATTGGACAAGAGTGTATATCATAAACAACAGCTCTGAGCAGTGGATATTACTTTTATTCACAAGTGAATAATAAAATCAGCAAGTATGTTATAAAGCAAAAATTATGGATGTTTCCTATTTCTTTTTGTTTTCTTTGACACTTGGTATATAATAAAATACTTATTGAATGGAACCTTCGGGAAACAGTATGTTTTGTGGACCCTCGACTACCAATGTTTCTCTAGGCTTCACCTTTTGGAAACATTGGCGGTCCCGGTCCACAAACCATACGGTTTCTCTCACTCCCGGTCAATAAAGGGCTGTCTGTATGGAAACAAGGCTGGCATGCTTAGCGAGACAGCCCGGTAAGCGAGATCTCGATGTGTGGTTATTTTTATAGTAAAAAGTACTGGGCGTTTGTATGGACAAGCTGGCTGGCCTGGTGGCCAAGATCTTGCTTGAAGAGGCGAAATCTTGCTTACCAGGCTGGCCGTGGGTGAAAGTTCAAAGATGCTGCCACAAGCTATTTTTAAGAACTGTCAAAATAACAAAATTGTCCGGGCAAGTAGGATGATGAAATTTTCTCATATATTAAGCACACAAGAAATTTATCCCGCTTAATACCGGGCAATCTCGCTAAGCGTGCCAGCCCGGCTTCCGAGATGTAAACAGCCCTAAGTGTAGCAAATTAATTCCACTTTACTAGATGACCCTATACTGTATGCATATTGTACATTTACATTTCAAACAGTAGTAAGTACATGTGAAAAATTCATATATTTTGGCTACAATACTACACGCTAGTGAATTCAGGTTTGTTTGCCGGACTGCTCGAGTGTAAAATTGGGAAAACATACTGAGTATTGGCAACGGGTTTAACATATATACGATAGAAACAAAAAAATGTTCACATAATATATGAATCGAGAAACATGCGAGTCCGTTTGTTCTGCTAGTTAAATTGCTATAGCCTACATACGTTGTAAATAAAGTAGTTCCTTTCGAAGTATAAAATCACGCTAAATTATACATCTTCATAAGTATTCGATGTACACAAAGAAGTTTTAATATTAAAGAGAAGCTTACAAAATTATTCACTTTTTTAGATCGTCGACATCGGGAGCATCATCATTAGTTTCCGAGGTCCATAGTGTAAGATTATCCCGTAGCAGTTGCATAATTAATGTGCTATCCTTGTACGACTCTTCCTTGAGGTTATCTAATTCGGAGATCGCTGAATCGAACGCATTCTTTGCCAATTCGCACGCTTTAGACGGATTATCTTCGATTTCGTAGTAGAATACGGAGAAATTCAGCGCAAGGCCTAAGCGAATCGGGTTTGTCGAGGGGAGACGTTTCCCGATCTTGCTCGCTTCCCCGTACGCTTCACTCGATTCCCCGATGACTTTCTTCTTGGCTTCATCGTCCTCAGCAACTTCTACTAAATAGCGAAAATAATCTCCTTTCATTTTGAGGTAGAATACCGCTTGTTCAATCGCTGGTTCGGCTTCGTCGTCTTCCGACACCTCTTTAATCAAAAAGTTATCCAAGAGGTCAAGCACATCGCGACAGCGTTTATCCAATTCGGCCTTGATTAATAATTTGAAATCAGTAGCAACAGCCAGCTTTGGGTCATTCTGTTGTAACTGGCTAATCTGGCTGTTTACAACACGGTGGGCCGATCGGCGTACTCCAACGACATTCTTGTACGCAACAGACAACAAGTTTCGTTCGTCTGCCGTGAGGTCTCCGCCCGCTCGTACAGCGTTTTCCATATATCCAACCATATCTTCGTATCTTTCAGCCTGCTCGGCCATCTTTGCGTACGTAATAGTATCCTCTCTCGTTATATTTTCGTCCATATTGCTTTATGTGAAATAGCAATCTTCGAAAATCGAAAGCCGAACTGAGTGGCGAATATTTCACAATGCAGGAGTGGTTCAAATCACGTGACGCGATAATTTTTGTCCGCATTGCCTTGGAGCGAGCCGCCAATCACGACACGTTATTTGATACGGGCATTTAAATATTGAGCAGCCTCAGTGAATAACTGAATATTGACTATCAATTGCCCAGCCAGAGATTTCCAAGTATTTTATAATGCGTGATATTCTGCAGCCTATTCCCACTTCAAAGCATTTGAAATTACAAGAAATAATTTATAATAGGATTTTTTTGGTTTAATCTATCTGGCTTATTATAGTATTAAAAATAAAGGAAAAGTGGACTTATCTTATTAATTAAATCTAATCGTTTTTGGACAAGTACTTCCTGCTTCCTGTTTCAATGGATGATAGCCCTGCTCTAACCCCTCCCCCCCCCTCCCCCAATGGGCAAAAGGACTGCCCTTGTGAAAAGCTGAAATCCGGTGTGATTACCATGTCTTCTGTTTATCAATACCCAGGGTTTTCACTTCCACCACCCCCGAAACTCGCAGCAGCGGGTGTTGCCGTAGCGACCGAGGGGTGTTTGAAGGCGGTGTAACTCCCCCCCCCCCTGCCGACTGTGAAACTCAGGCAAAATTATTAAATTATATAATTATAACTGTATAAAATTATATAATTATTACACTTCAGGTAAAATCCTCCGACACCC